GCACTATACGCACTATACGTAAAGTATCGTATAGTGTCGTATAGTGTTCAACTATACGCTATTTGCCCATCTCTAACTACTATTATCTCCATGTTATTTTTTCTGTATATTAACTTTATGTCTGGAAATAGAGGATTTTTGGACCTCACCTCATCTAAATGGAGATTTCTTCTTGTGTGATTTGCATAGTGTCGTCTACCAATGAAATATAATTTAATAATAACAACATATAATATAAATAAGGATCTAAAATTTGGAAACTAGTGCTTACTCATTGCATCGTACTATATAGTTTTTATCCCTAAACAAATTCATAAAAATTTGAACATGTATTGTTGCTCCTAGATGGTATTCAGGTAATATTTCTTTAAAATAATTTTCGTTTAAAACAAAATAGCTAGCACTAAATAGAAAAAATTATATTAATGATCATTTATGCTTTACTAAAATAAATAATAAAAATTTTAGACATACAAAGTTTTGACAATGGAATATATAAAATCATTGATCATTGATTGATAGTCTAACTTTAAATTACTCATTGAGCTGAAGTTTGTTACAAAATCTATAGCGTCTTCAATTTTTTCTATGCCTTTGATTAAAGACTAGTGCCGTAAATTATGATGATGGTAGTAATTGTATTTACGGCATATAAAAAGTGGTTGCAATTACCTTTGCGACCACTTTTGCAACCATACTTTTTCCTTTTTTGGATTACGGCACTAGTCTTTACCTTTGATGGCATCCAACATTTTCTCGCCATCATTTAATTTTATTTCATTAAATTTTATAATATTTTTTTTGAACATTTTTGAAATTTTTTTAAATGGAATCGTTTCGTTTTTATCATCTTCCAAATCAATTATTGCCATACGGATTAAATCAGTATTATTAATATAATAAAACAATAGTAACATTAGTAATATTTTATGTAATACTAAAACATTACCAATCAGATGATTTTTTATAAATTTTAATAAGGTCCGGATATATCATCTTTAAATCCTGTTTTGATTATAAGATTATATTGTTTTTATTATTGTTATTATTGGTGTAAATAATTAAATAAGTAAAATACGTACATTATTAATATCGGAACCAAAAGATGGATCCTCATCTAGTACTTCACTAAAGTTTATCACTAATGGACTCTAGAAGAAAATTTAAGAGAAATTTAGTGAGAATATCGAAAATTGTTGTTAATTAATGAAAAAGTCATTTTCATACTTCATCTTTGTCGTCATCATTGTCAATGGGATCAACACGACTCCTAAAAAATAAGTAAATACAAAAATTGAAGGTAATCAACAACTAGAGTGACGACAAGTGGCGGGCGATAACCACCACCACCATCCTTAAAACACTTACCCCGCAACATCAACAGCGAATTCTCTGCTTCTTTTTTTTGATTATTTCTTTGGTGGCATCTTGAACAAAAAAAGAAAAGAAGTTTGCGATTTGATCGACGCGTACATTATCCGGGGTTTTTTTTTGGTAGGACAGACGCGAATTGATTTTTTTTTGTTTTATTCGATATTGACCAAGTTATGAGGATTTGAAGCTTTTGATTAAATTTCTGTATGTTCAGCTTGTTGTATGATGTAATGTCGACCATTTCGACTTTTGATTCAACTTTGATCTCCCAGGTCGAAATATTTCGACTTCATGTATAATCTTTGTGTTATTTATTATTCAGATGATGCAATTTCTTGTTATCTCAATAATAATATCAAATATCAAATATATTGAATAATCATTATAAATATTGTAATGAAATGAAAGCATTCATGTTCAAGAAAAGGATTAAATAGTAATAAAAGGCCAAGTCATGTATATTTAACTATATATATCTAAAAATAACCAATTGTGCCATTACGTCAATCGAGCTATAAAATTCTCTTGTGTTAATTTAGAGTCCAATCTTTCTTCACTTATATAATCCATTGAGTTTCTTTTGTAGGCAATCTGTCAAATTTGCTCATCTATCACTATTTAAAGATCTTTTTGAACACAAACAACAGGAAATTCGTTTCAAGGAAATCAACATACACATACAGGCGATGTGATAAAATAGCACAGTTTATAAAAAAAATTTGATATCGATCGATATTTATAGAAAAAATAAAAAATCGATTTCTTGAAATCTTAAATTATTATTATGTGAAATGAGATAACCCCAATTCTATTGTTAAATATTTATTATATATCTCTCTTATACAAAAGATTTTGAGACAAAAACACGATCATGTAAACCCTCAACTTCTGCTGATTTGATTAACATGTTTAAACAAAATGATTGAAATACTGACCATTATCATTAATGTTCTTTACTTTTTAAAATTAATATCATTTCCTTAATTATAATAATGCCATTTCCATGTACAATGGATGGGTAACTTGGCCAATTTTATACGTATTTACTTTTTTACAGATTCTTCTTCGGTTTGATGGACCAAAAACTAATACTAATATTACATCTGATAATCTTCTGATATATTTATTTTCCAATTAGTCCGTATATTAATATGCTTATTATTATTTAAAATTCGTTGATCACAAAGATCTTAGGCAGTTATTTTAGCTATTTTGATTATCCTTTCGACATGAGATAGATTGATGCAACTTTTAAATTGCACTCTCAAGAAATAATAACTATCGCCAAAAATAAAAACTTTATTATATTATATTATATTATTGTATTATATTATATGTTTGTATGTATGAATGAATGTATATATATACAGCACTTAAATTCTATATTACTATTATTATACTAATTAATAAGAAATAAATCAAAATTCTAAATTATATTAATTACTAAATTACAATTTTTTATATAATAAAATCTTTCCGTTATCAATCGATCAATTAACTACTTGCCCATTTGGAGAGAGTTATATAAGTGGTATAGAACAAAGAGAAAATTCCAAATGAGAATATAAACACATCGATCAATTTTGCGCTGATGGTACGTGCTGCAACTTTATAATGGAAAAGTGGTGGATATAGAAAACAAAGTGGTACGCTATAATGGATAAAATAAGTAATAAATTAATTAGTTAACAGTAAATAATTATGGATAAACGTTTTAACAATTAATTACCATGCAAGGGAGCCAATCAATGAAACAAATTTATCCAAGTCATCGGCACCAGCACCAGAAATAAACGCACAAACAACAACTGTCATAATTCTAAAACAATTTTTTTGCCATTTGACCCAATAATAATCCTTGCCACTTTTCTTAAATAAACCATTCTCCATAATTCTAATTGCTGGAAACAATTGCAATGGGATCGACAACATAATGGCTAGTGCATATAAGACCTCCACAAGTGTAACAATTGGATCGTCTTGTGGCAAACTAAGAATCACCACTGTTTTAACCTCCTTGCCAAATGCTGCATATGACAGAACACCAATTGAGGTGAATAAGATTGTGATGAATATCATTACTCCAGTTAACACTTTTGGAAATTTTTCGGGCTCTTTCATTGATTCTGTAATTGGTATGATCTGTGAGTGAGGAATGAATAATGAAAAAAAGGGTTTTCGTTATTATCATCATCGTTATCATCACCAATGATATTATATTAACATTAACAAACAATAATCATAATACATACCAAACCTATTCCTTCAAATGTGAAGATGGCAGTACCAATGAATAGAGCAAAATCGCTCATGTTGAATTTTATGATATCAGCAACACCTTCAGTTGCTAATACACGAACATCATAGTAGTATAGGTAAAACAGACCAAACATGATGAATGCATCGGCAATCAATGCAGTGAATGATAACCTTGATATACGACGAATCATCACAAACGGTATAAAAACAAATACTTGTATTGCTATGTAGTAATGAATTGGATATCGGAAATTTAATATTTGCTTCGATAATGCTTCCAGATTTTCCGCTACAAATATTATATATGCACAAACAAATCCAATCTATTATAGGAGTTGAGAGAAAGAAGCGAGTGTGTGTGCTTGTGTGATTAATTATATGTTGATATCAAATAAAGAATATGTGCAAAGATAATAATTTAGCTTACTTGCGATATAGTAATAGAAAATAATACAGAATATCTCATCCAACGACCATACAAATGGTGTCCGATTTCTTTTTTAAACAACAACAAAAAAAAAATGGAATTATTTATTATCCATTAAAAAATATAGATAGATTAATATAATTATATAATTACCGCCAAAACTATGAGGAACATAAACTCTTGTTTCGACCAACAATAAAAATGATGTTAAAGATATTGCTGCAATCGCTATTAATACTAATGTTGAAAAAATTATCCCGCCATTTGAAAATCTAAAAAAATGATTTTAAAAAAAAATTTCTTTTCAATATTAATCTTATTCCAAAAACGTCCCAAAACACATATACACATATATAAAAAAAGAATATTTACGCCTTGGGTAGAAACATGACACCAGTCCCAACAAACGATTTCAATAGCAAGAAAACGGCTTTTGAAGGAGAAGCACCATGAACAGGAACAGTATCGGGAGGTTCAATAGGTTGATATTCACCAGAGATTTCCACATCATCTATATGCATATTTTCATCTTCGTCTTCTAATAAATCCTCGCCAGCAAAATGACCATACATATCCAAAAAATCAATAAAATTACTGGTGATCATATCTGGCGGTGATTTTCCCTCTTGTATCGCCTTCATTATAACATGGTGACGACGGAATCCACCTGGTTCTCTGATATTTGAAACATTCAGATCACTTGATCTTGGTAAATATAAAGATTGAGAACGAGTACGTTTCATCGGCGCACTTTCAATATCGTTATGCCATTTGTAAATTTCATGGGCTACTTCGCCACCTGGTAATAAATGAGCTGCATTGTAAACAGGTAAATTTTGATCTGAGGAATTTGTTGCATTTTTATTATTATTTTCTAGACTACGAGCAAGATCATCCTTTGTTACTAAATAATTCTTCAACATTTCTGCTTTTTTCTGCTTTTGAATATCGATGGGGATAGCATTCGAATTACCATTACCGCCACCACCAACACTAGTACCACTACTATTATTAATGCCGGCAGGATCCATGGATCCATTTGAAGTAGCACCATAAAATTTTCCATTATTATTAAAACTATTTGAAAGAGGTGATGCACTATTAAGTTTATTACTGTCACTGGCATTATTGTTATTGTTGAGTAAAGAATCACTAGGTTGAGACTTTGATAATAAAGGAGTATTGCTATTGCTGTTATTAAGTGAAGGTATCGAAGTGGCTAGACGATTAATGCTGTTGATACGACTATTATAAGAATTAGGACTTTTAGCAAAATCAGCACGATTATTGGGTTTTTTACCATGTTTTTTGATATCAACTGGTATTGTTGATGCCGCAGGTGAGCCCATGATTCAAATTTCTATTTTTATATATATTTTGGATATTGTTTTCAAATATTCAATATTACTATATATATTAATTATTATTTTGATTATATATATAATTGTAGCAAGATTTATTTGTTGGTTTATTTATTGGATTATTTATTTTTTAATTTTTTTTATTTTTTTTAAAAAAAAATTTTTTTTCTAAAGAAAAATGAAACTCTGATAATTATATTTACATTGCTTCAAGTTACACCAATTTTATACCTACATATTCGTTATTGTTATATAATAAGCCATAAAAAAAAAAATTTACCTCAATAGTATAATAGCGAAATTAGTCAAGTGACTCGGTGATTACTCTAAATTTATTTGATTTCTATTCCCTATAATAAAATAATAAATATCTCATCTAAAGTCAACAAAACCAGCCAATCGATGCAGCAAAATAAACAAATAATCAAAAATTTTGATGGAAAAATTTTTGGAATTTGGAAGGAATATTTTAATGTCAAAAAATTAGTAATTATTGTTTTGTTTTTTTCGTCATAATAATATATTTACATTATCCTTAATTCTGTGGGGGGAACAACAACAACAACAACAACAATAATAACAATAAAAGAAAAATGTCACGCGATCTACATAATTATTCCATTCAGCCAAAGCACATCCGTTTCTTTTTTTAGCTCTAACAAAAATTTCCTCTTTTTTTTTTATAGTTACTTTTAATTCTCCAAAGAAGGAACTTCATATACTTTTTTTTTAATTTTAAAAAAAATATTTTTTAGGTTTAATATTAAATAAAATTTGTAATTATTGAGCTCAGCTTAACTTGATCGTGTTTAGTTTGGGTCAGTACTCTCAAATTAGCGATCATCATCCAAATTACGTGGGTTCTGGTCTTTAAAGGTAACTTTGGGGTTCATATATCCAGAGTCGCATGATGTCAAAAGTTTTTACATAAAGTCGGCGCTCGATATAGTAAAGCATTTGTTTTAGAAAATTTTCTTTATATAGTACGATTCGTCCATATTTAATATGTATATAATATTAATAGGTTCATAAAAATTTAGGCATATGACCTATGGCCAAACGATGTCATATGACCACATGACCATCAGTATTATAATACGTTACAACGAGTAAAATATTTAGTGTGGCTTGTTTTCTGAAATAAAGATCCTGAAGTGGATTCTAAAAAGAAACCATAGCATCTAAAGATTGCTAACACTCTGTTGTAGTAATCTTTTATCCATAATCTTCAGGTTCTCAGCCTCAAGTATTTGATTTTATGCAAGCTAGCTAAACAGATTATCATGTGTGAAATGTTTTGTTCCGGTTTCGGTTTCGATAATCAGGTTCGAATCCAAAATAGAAATAGTAGTTAAAGATAAAATAACGACTAGCAGATATTATTAATATAGAAAGAACTATTTACTATCTGATAATTTAAAAAAAAAGTTGTTGATACGTGGGAATTAATTATTATCAGGTGTACTTTGTCATGCATGTATTAATAATTGATGGTTTGATTTCTAGTCGATCTCTAATTTCGCTAAGGTTTCTAATTAAAAAAGGTTACAAATTGTATTAGGGCTTCACAATATCTTGATATGTGTAACATAAAATAAAAATGATCAAACATTATTGACTATTAAAAGAAATTAATGTTTCATTAAAAAATACGTGTAACCTATTTGTTCATACATTAAAATATTATTTAGGAATATTTTTAAAATTTCTTCCCTAATTAAATTAAAGAGTCACAAATTATCGAATTCTCCTTTAACCAGTTTTATTAATAACTCAAAACAATAAAACCTTTTTTTTTTACTCACAAGTACCGTTTACACAATTATCCTTATCCCATATATCTCCACCCCCATATTTCTCCCATCCATTTCTCCCACTTCTCCTTTTTTTCTCTCCCTCTCTTTATTCCACTTCTCCTATTCACATAATATTTTTTTTCATTCCGTACTCCACATCCCCCGTATCTAACATAAAATTACTTCTCGTATTCTTCTCTTAGCAAATTGTATAAACCATAATTTCTAAAAAATCTTATCAATATTTATTGCATTGCCTCTTCACTATTCCTCTTTTCATTTATTCTATTACTAGAATTGAAGCCTCTTTCAGTGTATTACAAGAACATCCGATTACTATCAATAGATAGATAGATAGATAGATATATATCAATAAAAAAACTTAACAAAATAATAAATGTCAGTAAAAATAAGATAATAAGAAAGTTATTATTATTTATATATTATTATACACATATATATACATATAATATTTTTTGTATTATAAAAAAATCTAAAAAAAAAATATATATTTTTTTATTTTGTAATTTTTTTAAAAATTTTTTTCAAATGTTGTAAAAAAAAAAAATCTATCAAAAAAACTATTTAATTTATTCGCTCGATCATGTATAATAATAACAACAATAGTGGGTACCATGGTAACAATAATTATTTAAATAATCATAATAACTTTAGTAATAATAACTATTATAATTACAATAATAATAACTATAGTAATAATATTAATAATAACTATAACTATAATAATAATTATAAAAATAATAATAATAATGTTGGGCAATCTTCTTTAGCACCATCAGGCGTAGTTGGTTCAATTGGAGATCAAGGGTAAATTCATTATCATTGTTTTTATTTATAGCAATCAATTGCCGGTTAAAAGAATATATTAATTAATTCTAATCATAATTATAATTCTAGTCACTCCGAAAACTATTCAAGTTTATCAGTCGTAAGTCAATCAAATGGCCTAACATCTGATTATAATACTAACAATACTAACAATCATAATAATCATAATAATTATGGAAATCTTAAACCACAATTCTCTTCAAAACATCCAACAACACCAATACCAATGCCTTCACAATCACATAATTATCATAATCATCGTGAACTTCCGCCATTATCAATACCATCACCACATACAACGTATCCATCGCCATCTATTCGATCACAATCAACATCACCTTCAATGGCAATCCCACAATCGCAATCATATGATCATCGTTATCTACCATCACAACATCATCATGATAATCGTAATCCATTATCAACATCACCACCACAATACACTCGATCATTGTCGCCATCACATTCACCGTCAATTCCACAATCAACATCACCTTCGGCGGCAATTCCTCCACAATCACAATTTCAACCTAAACGTACATATGATCGTCAAAATTCTCATCCATATACACAACAGCATAATCAGGAACAATATTCACCACAACCAAATCAATTTCATAGTCCTCCACCACAAGGACAATCAATCTTACCTATGGGATTTCCGTTTACAAAAAGTTCTAAAGTTAATCCTGGGGATTCTTATAGTCCAATAGATAGCAGTCCAACAGCTATACACCAACATCAGAAAAAAAAGTCGACAATTTACGAGGATGAATATAATCCAATGAGTCCCAGATCTGAAAAAGGACTGTTGAATATTGAAGATGAAGATGAGAAACAAAAGGGAAAATATGGTGGATTAATGAAATATATATGTTGCGGCAGTACCAAGAAAAGTAAATGTAAAATATGCGCAATAATTTGTTGTGTGTTGATTTTGATAATTATTGGTGTGGTGGCTGCAGTAGTGATATTTGGCAAAAAGCCTCAAGTGGAATTTCTGGAGCTAGGCCCATCGCCAAATAATGTTGAGGCTTATGTTAAGACACCAACTGGATTTGACTTTAATGTTGGATTGAAAATTAGGGTAAATAATCCGAATATTATTGGTGCAACCTTTTCATTTATCAATGTGGATGCTTTCTATCCGAACTTTGACAAGTCAATCGGTGGTGGTAATTTGACCAATGTGAATATCGAGAGTAGAGGCAACACAACAATAAATTTTCCATTTTCGATTCATTATGATAAAGAAATTGATCCAAATTTTGCAATTTTGCTCGATATTGCTTCAAAGTGTGGATTGATTGGATCAAGTGGAAAACAAAAAATCACTATAAATTACACGGTGTCATTGTCCTTAAAAGTTCTGATATCTTTTCCACCTTATAGTGTTAAAAGACAAGTAAACATTGATTGTCCTCTTCAGGTAAATTAATCAACTACTTTTTACTTTTTTTTGGGTGGCAAGAAAATAAAATACTAATATTAATTATTTTTTTTTTTTTTATAATTATAGGATGGCAAGATTCCTAATATACCAGGGTTTGATCCACTTAAAGCAGCAAGCGACTTGAATCCAAAAAAGAAAAAGAAATAAACCAATGATTTAATCCATAATAATAATAGTAATAATAATAGTAAATAAATAAAAATGTAATCATTATAAAATTTTATATATATATATGTTTATATAAAATTTATTGTAATCTTAACATTATATATCTGATATAAAAAAAATTATATAAAATACTAAAATATCGTAAAAAAGTTTATTTTTCTCTTGTAAAGAAAATTAAAACATTTTGAATTATTAATACAATACATACATATACATACATACATATATATATATATATAAATCTATTTATTAATTTAAAACAAAAAAATTCATTGTTCACATATAAAAAAATCAATTATTAATTAATATAATTACTTATTATTTTTTTTTTCAAAAAAAAAAAAATTCACTTAATTTATTATTATTATTATTTCTTTTTATTGAATTGACGGAATTGATTAGCAAGCACATCCACTTCCTTCACTAGCATTTTGAGTACCAGAATTAATGTTCACATCGATAACTATTTATATATGTGTGTGTGTGTGTAATAATAATAATTTTTTAAATATTTCAAATTAAATATAGCAAACAACCAAATTAATTAACCGATTAATTAATCAGAAAACTTACGCTGATTTTGAGTTTCGTTCATTGTATTTTCCATTCCAGGTAATGCTTGAGCAATTTTACGGAAAAGCGTTTTTACATTATGGCCGGCTTTTGCACTAGTCTCAATGAACATGACATTAAATTCTTTGGATTTCTTTTCTCCCTCTTCAGTAGTAACTTGTCTTTTAGAGCGAGTAAATGAATGGGTTGAATGTGATGAATGATAATTAATGAACAAATGAGATGATTAATAATTAATTAATTAATTAATTAATTAATTAAATTCAACGAATAAACAAACATTAAAGAATAATTTTAATTTTTCACATTCACTTTCTCATCTAATTCGCATTCGTCTTTGCTCTTTCATTTAAAATTTATTTACCTTTTATCATTTAAATCAGTTTTGTTGCCAACCAATACAATAATTACATCATTTCCTCGTTCTGCGCGAACATCATCAATCCATTTGGCAGTATTCATAAATGAACTACGATCTATAAACATTAAATATATTAATATTTTATTAATATTACATATATATATACATATATATATATAAATAATAGTTACTTGTAATATCAAAAACGACTACCGCAACCGAGGAATCTCGAATATAACTAGGAATTAAACTTCTAAATCTTTCCTAAACGAATATTAGAAAGATGGAAATTATTAATAAACGTCATATACACACGTACATTTATATGAGAATAATTACTTGTCCTGCTGTATCCCATAATTGTAATCTAACAGTTCTATCTTCTAAGTACATTGTTTTTGATAAAAAATCAATTCCAATCGTTGCCTTTAAATTAAAAAATAATTAATAAATTTAATACTTATGTTTTAATCATAATCATAATATTAACAATAAACCTACTTGATATGTATTATCAAATGTGTCATACATAAATCTTGTTATTAATGAAGTTTTTCCAACTATTATATGTATTAAAAATTTAAATTTAGAATTGAATTAATTTAATTAAATTGAAGTAACTATCACCTTCACACAAATATACTTTAAATTTCGTTTTCCATATTACCTCCATTACTTACCACTTTGTTCACCAAGAAAAACTAACTTAAATTTTCTTAAAGGATTACTAAATTCTGAGGGACTTGTAGCTGCCATTGTTTTTTTGTTTTTTTTTATTTTTTAATTAGTGTTCGTTAAAATTCCTCAGTTATTTCTTTCGCACACTTTTTTTATTAATTAATTAAATAAATAATAGATTTAATGAATTTTGTAACAAAAAGATGTGTGTGTGTGTAATAGTAAGTTTAACTGCTAAGTTACAATAAAAAAAAAAATAAAAATCCGAATGATCAATGTTTATTCGTGTAATTTCTATTACCCAATCATATCTGTAATATATATATGCCGAAAATTTGGGGGTACACACCCCTACAAAAGGTATCGACTCACTTGATGATCCGCCAAAATAATCGAATAAACGGGTAATACAAATACTCGTTTTTTACTAAGAAAATCGATGCTAAGAAAATGTTTGTTGAAATGATTACCATAATAATCTAAAATATCACATTGGGCAGATTGTTATTGATAATTATATGATGTTTAAAAGTCGAATTAAAATTTTTCGAAAATTTTTTGAAAAAGTAGCACTTGGAGCTATTTTAAGATACGATGTTCTAACACATCTTGGGAACTTAGAAATGTTGCTCCGTTTGTTCTCAAATGTATATATATACACGTTCATAATTATTGATCGAATATTCATGGAGCATTAA